GGTCCCAAAAAAAGGGGTCCCCGAAAAAAAAGGGAAAAGGGGTTTCCTTTGGCAAAGGTTGACATCGCTTGAAATGCAACCTGGAACCAAATTGCGGCGCATATCTAGGGGTCATTATTTTGCAGCCATACGCCTGCACGCAGCGTTTTAGACTTCGAATCCTTCGCAGGACGAGGTCAAATGCTGGACGGACGAGTGCCAGGAGCCTCTCAGGTAGAATATAAACCATTTGGGAAACCCCCTCTAAAGAGAGAGATACGGACGCGCTGTTGGGAGACTACCGCACAGGACGCGGAGACGACCGGGTCACAGCCGCGCTGCTGGCTTGCTACACCTCCTCACAAGTGGACGCCCTGTTGGGAGACTACCGCACGGCGAGCGCGCAGGACACGCAGACGCAGGCCGCCATCACGGGCGCGCTGCTGGCCAGCGGACGGGCCCGGACCAGGACGTGTTCGCAACCAACCAAATTACCTCGGCGCTGGTGGCGTACCGCTCAGCCGCCGACCAGGACACGGCAACGGCCTCGAGCCTCGCAGCTACTACGCCATCGCACAAGTGGACGGTCTCCTTGCGGGCAAGCTCGGAGTCACGGAGGCGTGCGCTTTCCGGACGACGGAGGGCCGACGAGGTGGTGGCCGCCATAGGAGAGCAGATCCTCCACGGCGTACTGTCAAACTGGACGGTTCGCCCGCGAGCGTGGACTGGCTGCAAACCCGTGGAACATTGTGCGCACCTGGCCCCCGGCCGAGAGCTCCTCTTCGCTGCCGGTCGGCTCGGCACAGCCTCCAACTTCGTGGTGTACATGTTCAAGGCCGACAACGTCTACGACCCCCTGTACGGCAGCTTCGTGGGTGACCGCGCCTGGAGCACGGCCAAGATGTGCTTCACAGTGCCTCCGAACGGAGTTGCGAAGCTGCACTTCGGGGCGCACTTCCAGGCGCCGGGCCTGTCCAACACGGCAGGGAACGGTGACGTCTACGGCCTCCAGATCCTGGACGCAAAGCGCACCAGGAAGTTGCCCAATGTGGTGAGCGTGGGTTCCAGCAGCACCTCGCCCAGGGTGGCCAGCGTGACGTCGTCGGTCGAGGAACTCGTGCTTTAACAGCAGGGCCAAGGCCGTCGTGTCTGCCTCGACCTCCGCTGTGTCGCCGGCCTCCAGGGCCAACAGCCAGAGCTCCGTGGCCTCGGCCAGCTTCACTGTGGGAGGCTTCCAGCTGGAGGCCCTGAGCGCCTTTGCCTGGAACATTGCGCACCTAGACCCTGACGCCGGGGAGACGCTACTCCTTCGGTTGCCGGTACCGGCGGGCACGGCCTCCAACTTGGTGATGTACGTCAGCGCGGCCGACAACGACTACGTGGGCGTCACCGGCACCTTCCGCAGGGTGTCTGGAGCACGCGCGCCTGGACTTCTCGGTGCCACCGGGCGGAGTCGCAAAGCTGCACTTCGGAGCCTTCGGAGGCTCGATCCCCGGGCTGGTGCAGCAGTCGGCGGGCACGCTGGACCTGTACAGCCTGCAGATCAGGGCCACCGCCTTCGAGGGAGAGTTGGTCTCCGTGACGACCTCTGGCCGACTTGCTGGCCCTCACGGGCTCGGCCACGCTGGACGGACTTACTGCGCAGGGCAACGTGGGCGCGCAACGACGAACTGCACCACGTGTTCACCACGGGCGTGGACGCCTCGGGCGCAGTCTCCTGCGCTGGCTTACAGCCACCGGCACCGTCGCCGGAGCCGCGCTGTCGTCCACAGGGGCCGTGTCAGGCAGCTCGCTGAGCATGGGCACTTTTACTTCAGCGGCCGACGTTCTTGACATCCCCGCCCCAAAAAGTGCTGAAAGTTGGGCGAGCCAGTACTAAGGGTCGTTGGACGAGCCAGTACCGTCCAAGAAGTGGAGGTGTTGGTCACGGTGAGCGTGTTGGAGGCGAAGAGCTGCGGCGCGGAGACCGTGTCCGAGCTCGTCACGTCGCCGCACACCACGCTGCCCGTCGACACTACGCCGCTCGTGGCTGTGAAGGTGCAGTCCAGGCTCTTGCAGTCCAGCGGGCGCGGAGGCCGCCCCGGCGATGGTCAGCGTGGCGCCCGTGACCCACCGTGGTGAAGTTCCCGGCGTTGTTGTTGATGGTGAGTGTGCTCCGTGATTCCTGTGGCGGAGCTCAGCAGGCCCACGCTGGCCGCACCGCTGACCGAAAAGACGTATTTTTGTCCATTTTGCATGACGGGTTACCGGTGTTGCCTTTTTCTCACGGTTTTCACGTTGTCGGTCGTGGTTGGACTTGAGCCTTGTGAAGGCGAGATTCGGCTTGCTGCCTTTTCGGGCATTTCTTCTTGATCCGGGGCGGGGGGCGTGGGTGCAAGTCGCGTTTTGCCCGGGCCTGTATTGTCCGTGCTGTCAATGTTGATGCCACGGCTGGACTCGCCTTCGAGCAAGGTTGGCCCAATCCGACTTGGTGAGGCCATGTGGAGTGTGTTTCCTTGTTTCGCCGCCACCCGGCTAGGCTCTGCTCGACCTCAAAATCAGCTGCCTGGGCCTTGAGTGGACTGCGTTCTTTTTGTTTGGAAGTGGCCCCGGCTTGCATTTGCGAGGGACACCGTTTCTCTTAGGTTGAACGGGTGTTTGAAGTTTGCTGGATTGCAGGTGGTCGACCTGTTCCCGTCCAAGACTATTCCTGGAGGACCTTTACATCGACTGGCCAGGGCCCTGAGAGAACGCGGTGCGAGCCATGTGTGTTTGTCAAGTGTTGGGTTGCCCTTGAGTTGGTGGTAGGGGTTGGTGCTGGCGCGCTGGTGATGTTTTTTTTTTGGATAGCCCCCGGGTGGCTATAACTCCCGACCCCCCGGGGAAAACCCCTAATGCCGCACACATTTTCTGAGCTTTTTCGTTTCCAGGGTTCCCGGAGGCTGTTTTTTTCCGAGCCCCAGCGGTGCTCCCAGGCACCACCCCTCCCTTACTTTCTGTCGTTTTCGGATTTTCGATTTTCGCCCTTGTCGCCGGTTTGCGTGATGCGGCGATGCCGTGATGTTGAATTCCTGTCAATCTGATGCCGGTGATGCGATCGTCGTTGGTGCTCCTGGGCACTACCCCTCCTATGGTTTTCCAATTTTTCAGTTGTCCGCTTCGCCGTTTTGGATGGTGCGGAGTTGTGGGCATGAAGAGTTGTGATGCCTTTTTTTCGTGCCATGTGTGAGCTTCTCGGCCGAGGCAGCTACGGCAAACACCGTTTCACCTGGCGTTGTGCAATAAGCAGGGACGTTTCGTTACACCGCAGCTTTGCTCGACTTTCCAGGATTAGCAGTCAGCAGTGTGGCGAAAGAGCCCTTGCGTCACTTTGCTCAGCCAGTGTTCACCTGCCAGCATGATTTGGAACGTTTCAAGCATGACAGTCTTTGGTGCAAGTAGCCTTGCCGTTCTTCAACTTGCAGTTGCCGTGCAATCCCAGCCCCTCCCCCAGGCCGCAGCTTCATGTGAACCCGTGAAGGCCTGGAGAGGCTGTAAGGGGACTGGAAAAATGGAAGAGTTGGAGGGCCCAGTGCACGTGAATTCGTGAAAATCCGAAGCACCCAACACACGTGAATTCGTGAAAATCCGAAGGACCCAATACACGTGAATTCGTGAAAATCCGAAGCACCCAATACACGTGAATTCGTGAAAATCCGAAGGACCCAATACACGTGAATTCGTGAAAATCCGAAGGACCCAATACACGTGAATTCGTAAATTCGAAGGACCCAATACACGTGAATTCGTGAAAATCCGAAGGACCCAATACACGTGAATTCGTGAAAATCCGAAGGACCCAATACACGTGAATTCGTGAAAATCCGAAGGACCCAATACACGTGAATTCGTGAAAATCCGAAGGACCCAATACACGTGAATTCGTGAAAATCCGATGGACCCAATACACGCATGACAACACCAAAACCCTAAGTAACTGCCCAAGAAACTGCTGCCTGACAAGACTCACGGGTTCACGTGAAACTGCTGCCTGACAAGATTCACGGGTTCACGTGTATTGGGTCCATCGGACTTTCACGAATTCACGTGTATTGGGTCCTTCGGATTTTCACAAATTCACGTGTATGGGGTGCTTCGGATTTTTCACGAATTCACGTGTATTGGGTCCTTCGGATTTTCACGAATTCACGTGTATTGGGTCCTTCTGGCAGGAGGCTGACTTCGGCTCCACCACGTCCCGAAAGTCTTCAAGCAAGCCTCGCAGGCCTAGGGCCCTAAGCGTCTCATGGATGGGTTGCAAGCTTCAATGGCTTGGAGAGAGCAAAAGGCGCCACGATCCCTTGGGCTCCCTCCGCCAGAGTCGCCTGGGTGCCCCAAGTCCCCCAAGTCCCCTACCCTCCCGGATCCACCCCCCTACTTGAGCTCTCAAAGTCCCTAGGTCCCCCCAGATTTTTTCACACACAGTTCCCAGAAGGTCCACTTGGCCAAAGGCCAGCCCTCTGAGGCGCAGCCACGGACTCCGCTTTGTTTTTGGGGCCTCTTGGCCAGCGTCCAGTTCAGCCATGTGAAGGGCAGCCATGTACTCGCCGGTTCTCAACCCTGCCACCCGCGCACTTGGGGCGGGGGGCACACTTGCACTTGGGGCAGGGGGATATTTGGGGCAGGGACGCACTTGAGTGGGAGGATGCACTTGGGGCAGGGACTTGGGGCAGGACGCACTTGGGGCAGGGGCACACTTGGGGCAGGGGGCACACTTGCACTTGGGGCAGGGGGATATTTGGGGCAGGGACGCACTTGAGTGGGAGGATGCACTTGGGGCAGGGACTTGGGGCAGGACGCACTTGGGGCAGGGGCACACTTGGGGCAGGGGATGCACTTGGGGGAGGATGCACTTGGGGTTGGGGGATGCGGGGGAGGAGGGAGAGTGACGAGCCGCGTGCATCCAGGGGGCAGAGGAGCTGGGAAACATTGTGCTTGCGGTGGTTTCGGATTTGACGGATCAGCGCCCGCCACACGAAATGTGTAAAAACATTTTTGCTTGTAGCCTGGCCCAAAGAAGCGCTCAGAAGCAGCGCTGCCGACGGTCCACGCGCACAGCGCAAAGTCGCGCTTTTAAATCCACATCGTATCGCAAACTAGCCACGAGGGAAACACTGCGCAACCATGGGCGTGGAGACGACGAAGGGCAGGAGGAGCCGAGGCTGGTCAGCTTCAACTCGTGCTTGTTAGGACTCGTTGTCGTCAGGTGTTCGCTCCCGCATTCTCCTGACTGCAATCTCGTGGCTTTTCTTGCACACGGCCAAGACCTCGGCAGCATTGTTCCAGTGCTTTGGTTTGCTGGTTGTGGCCCCAGGTACATCTCTTCACCATCCTTCACGGGCGGATTTCACCGAGTCGCCCGGGCTGGAAGGACACTAGATTCCTGGCATCTTGGCTGTGTTTTGTGTGGTGCCGCCAGGATTCTCGCGGGCCACAGGTCCAGATCCCGGTGTCGCTGTGATTGTTTTGCCTGGATTTTCAGCTCTTGAGGTGACACGCTGGCACCCTGGGCGTGGTGGAGTTGCTTCGCGCGCCAGCCCGCAGCAGGACGCTCCAATCAGCAGTTGTAAATTTGGCCGGTTGCAATCGTGCCAGGACAGTGGTGCGGAGGCCGGGGGCTCGCATGTGCCAGGCTCGGTTGTTGGTGGGCGCTGGCAGGACTGGCTCGCCAAGAGCCGCGAGGAGGTGGAGGGCTTCAGCAAAGCCCAAGTGTCCAGCTGGGCAGAGGCTGTGCTGATTGACGGCGGGCTGGAAGCAGACGATGAGTTCATCCAGCGGACGGTGACCGCACTGCGGCAGCAAGGCGTCACCGGCAAGTCCCTGCTGGAGCTGACACTGGAGAAGCTGATGGCAGCTCCGTACAACATCCCTGGCGGACCTGCAGAGCTGCTGACAAAGAAGATCCAGTTGCTGAAGGAGCCCCAGGCACGGCTGGAAAATCGTTTCTCTTGACTTTTTTCTGAGACGTGCGGTGGGTCGTTGCGTGTGGTTCTGAACTTCCCCCCCGCGGCCCGCAAATGCTTTCAATGGGCTGCCCTGATCAACATCCACAGAATGAGAAAATCCCAAGATAGCATTTTTGCAGATTGCGGCAGTTCGTGTCGTTGGCAGGCTCGGTATGGAGCCCCCATGAACGGATGGTTGCCTTTCCTTGTTGGAGGTCGGTCATTCCTGCTGGTCGACATTGATTGAGACGTGCCGTTGATCGTTGTGAGTGATTTTGCGCTTGCCCCCAGCCTGCTTTTGAAAGAGCACGTCTGCCGGGGAGAGGGAGGGCAAACTCTGATGTCTTGCACCCATTGGGGTCCTTGCTGCTGCAGGCACAAGTGCATTCTATGAATGTTCTCTTTGATCTCCCGGGCGGTGTTCTTGCTCGATGTTTTGCCCGTTTTGCTGCCATTCCATCCCGTTCTGTTGTTCATTTTTCTGCGTACCTGTTCATATCTGCCTGATTTGGTGTGAGTGTTTGGCGCAAAACTATCAAACAGTCGAGGGGGAACCCGCAAATATTGAAGAGCCTGCTGTTCCAGTCGCCTGCCTTTTGAAGAGCAAGACCTACCCTTCTGCCATGGTCGTTGCTGCTGCAGACACAATGCAATCCGAAGGTTAAATTTTGTTCCGACAGCACGAGCATGGAGGAGATTGCTAAAGTGTGCACACTGTCCCTCTGCTGCCGGCTGACGTTGAGACGTGCCGTTTGACGTTTTGTGTGGTTTTGATTTCCCCCGTGGAAATGCTTTCAGTGGGGCTGCCCTGATCACATCCACAGAACCTGAACGGGGTTCCTGGGAACTCAGTGGTTTTGCTCAGCGTGGAGCCCCACAAAAGGATTGTTGAGCTGAACCACGCATCTCCCGCTTTGCTTTCATGGGCAGTGTTCCTGCTGGAAATTTGGTTTTGTTTCGGTTTTGGTACCCTTGTGTTCCTTGCTTTCCTAGTGCTCGGCTTTCGCACTAAGTACGGTCCACCTTTTTTACTTTTTGGGGTCATGCTCTCCTCTCAGCAACGGTCCCCTCGTCGTTAAGCTTCAGTGTTTTGGCTTGCAGAGGGCTCTTGGCTGCTTTAGGTTCATGCAAATCTGGTTGCTCTTTGTGTTTGGCTGATGCTTCAGAACGGGGTGTCAGTCCTAGGTTCGAGGTGGGGAGGTCAGCCTGTTTTGCGCTCGCTTTGCGCTCGCTCTCCAGGTTGCGGTTGCTTTTGTTTGAGGCTCGACTTTAAGGTTACTGTGGGGGGGTCAAGCGAGTCAACCCTGAGTTCTTAGTGCTTGCCTTCAGCGCGCGGACCTTGAGAGCAGTGGGGTTCTGGAAGGGCTTCTGCGTGGGCATGTTGCCTTCGGTTTGTAGCACTCCTGCTTGTCCGGGGCTCTTGGTCGTCGTGCGTTTTCATGCGGTCCACCGTTGTTGCTTTTTGGCGTGATGCTTTCCTCTCAGCAAGGATCCCCTCGTCGTTAGGGTGTCTGCACTGTGTTGGCTTGCAGCAGTTCGGGGAGTGGGAGAGGCTTTCGGAGCGACGGCTCTTGGCGGTTCACAAAATCTGGTTGCACCCGTTCGTTTTGTCGAGTGGGAGGCACCTTTGCGGCTCAGGCAAAGGTTTCCTGCAAATCTGTTGCACCCGAATGCGGAGGGGTATCCTGTTTTCTCAACCCTGCGTTCATTCAGTCAAACTGGAGGTGAGAGAGGATGCGTTGCTCTCAGGCTACGGTTGTTTGTGCGCGGGAGGCTGTGGTTATGCATCTGTGTTTGTGTGCTTGGCCACCCTGCTGTCGCGATATGCTCGGTGGCCTTCTTGGTTTGTCGGGGTTGGGCTGTGGGCACAACCTTCGAGGTCAGACTGTGCGGGCTGTTGTTTAGCTTCAGCTTTGCAGCTGAGCTGCAATCTGGGAATGGATACCAGGCAGACTGGTTGTCGGGATTGGCTTTGGGAGCGGGTCAGGCAACCAAGACAAGTTCATTGTTTTGGGGTGCAGGGCTTAGGCCGTCGGGAGGCGTCTCCAGCTTTGTTGTGCGCAGGCGTCCGCCTCGAGTAGCCTCAAGTGGGTCGTGGACGCCAAGGACACGGCATTTGCCAACGAGCTGCGCATGGCTCAGCCGCTGACGGCTCTGGACTGCGCTGATGAGAATTTCACCGACGTAGAGTCCGCAGAAGATGCCGGTATCGAGATCTTCCCGTTGAACGCCAGCTTGGATCCGAAAGAAGCCAAGCCATGGCTCTTCGTTCGAAAGCAGCAACGAGAGGTCTGGCAGGCGGCCTTCAATGCGTCGCAGGATGTGGTGGTGACCGGCTCGCCCGGCATCGGCAAATCCTTCTCCATGTCCTTCTTGTTCCGCGACCTCATGAAAGCAAAGAAGACCTTTGTCTTCGAAGCACGCAGGTGGAACATGGTGTACTTGTTCAAGCCGCGCACCGACGGCACCTACGAGGTCGGCAGCATGCAACTGGAAGACTGGAAACCGGCAGCGTGTGACGAGCTGAGAGTCCCTGCGAACTACTATGTCATCGACCCCGGCGAGGCTGAAAAGGGAGGCGTCTGCTTCGTAGCGGCCAAGACTGTCATTTGCCCGTCACCGGATCCGCAGCACCTTGGAGAGTTCAAGAAGCTCCCCAAATGCAAACTGTACATGGCAGCTTGCTCCTTGCAGGAGGCCCAGTGCATAGTCAAGTACCTCCGCCCCAACTTCGACCAGAACCAGGTGGAAGAGCTCTACAGGCGATTTGGTGGTATTCTTCGACACCTGATTGGCGACCCTAAGGAGGTGGAGATGGCTCGCAATGCAACCCTGTCGAACCAGAACTTGGTCAGGCAAGTTTGGACATCGGGCATCATTGATCAGGGACGTGATTTGAAGCCTGCGCACTGGCTCTTCCAGATAGTGCCGGAAAACGGTTGCACCAGCAGCAGGGTTGAGTTTGTTAGCGAAGAGGCACTCGACCTCACCATTCACGAGTATGAGGCGGAGCTGGCTGACCTTTTGACATCGTTTGATCCGCTTGCAAAGCCCGTCCTCGGAGTTCTCTACGAACGCTTCGCCCACCAAGTGCTCTGCCGGGGGACGTTGCTGCTGACGCGGCTGGCCAACGTCACCGTTCCCATGTTCGAGATGCGGCTTCCACCACTCGATGAAGAGGTGGTGGACGGCAGCATCGCCGATCTTTTCACAGCTGCCACCACTGGGCAGCTACGATACATGCGGCCCAGAGATGTGGGCCTGCCGGTCATTGATTCATGCCTGGCTCCTGTTGAGGACCCGAACAGCATGTGTTCTGTCAAAGTGCCTGCGCTGGTGTGCAGTGCTTGCGTTTTGTGCCCCTGGTTTTTCCCATACCCCTAAGGACGGCGTGATGACATGCTTCCAGATCACCGTCAGCGCAAAACACTCCCTGGATCTTGTCGCCTTGGAGAATGCTGCACGGGGTCTTGACATCGCCAAGATTGTTATTTACTGGGTCGTTCCCAGAGACAGCTTTCGAGAGTTCAACCGCAAGCAGACGTTCGGGCCTCAACTTGTATTCGAGCAGCGCGTCCTTTCGCTCGCTGCTCCCCGCAATCCCTTTACCGAGCAGGAGATGCAAGAACGGTTGCAGAAGGCTGAGCTCTCTAAGCTTACCACAGGAGACGAGCAGCTCCTCAAGCAAGAGATTGATGACCTGAAGCTCCGGTACTTGGTTATGAAATCTTTCGAAGAACAAGATGTCAAGGACATAATGAATAAGGTGTTAAAAGAAGGGAAAAGAGCGAAAAACCAGGATCCCGTGGCTCTGCGCGCAGCACGAGCTTGGGATAAGATTGTTGCCTGTATGGCTTGGACGAAAAAGAGAGGCGAGTGCAAGCTTGCAGCGTAGGTGCCAGCCTAATCTGCAGTGTCGATCACGTTGCCAGGCCTGATCAGCCCGGGCGTGCACTTTTGCTTGGCCGGATTTTGCGTTACTCGACGAAAAGCGTGTGCCCCACAGTTGGCCGGTGGATTTGCTTTCCACTGCTTTAGAACAGCGCGAATCATGATTTCATGTCGCATATCTTTATCTTGACATTCAGCGCACTCAGGCTCTCGACACATGGAGTTTTTGCATAGAGTTTGCTGCAAGCTGGACCATCACACTGACACGACAATGCAGCACTCATCGTCAGAATATCGCTCTTTCGGTTCAAGTCTGCAGCACACATCTGCGTGTTGGAGTTCCGGTTCGAGTCGGCGCGCATCGGTGAAATTTCGGCTAGTCTTTTGGAATCTTTCTGGAATCTTTCGACTCTATGTGTTGAGTCTTTGTAGAGTATCTGTGCAAAACGCAGTCTTTTTGAAGTCTTTGTATTTCTCGAGTCTAGCACTCATCATTTGACGGCTGTGGCGCTTTCCGAGTCGAATCTTATGAGGACGACCCGCCCAAAGCCGTAGTGGAAGTCTAACCTTCAAAACTCCACCCCGCCAGGCCGCACTATGGCCCAAAAGATTTTGCGAGCTTTTTTCGCGCACTTTTGGGCCTTCTAGAAGCCAGCGCCGGGGCTGCAGGGCCGCGTTTGGGAAAGGGTTGGAGCCGGGGCGGGGCGGAAGGACTTACCCCGGGAACGAAACAGCCGGGGGGCACGCTGCAACGGGGGTAGTTTGGAAAGCCAAATATAAGACAGAGGGGGGGGGGCTCCGCCCTCCCTCAACCCCCCCCGCAGGGAAGGCTGCGCTCCCCCTCAACCTCTCCGCTTTTTTTTATTAGCCGAACACGTACGCGGTCAAATTCGAAATTGATTCTTCTGGCTTATACTACTGCCAAAAATGAGGATGCTCTTCACTGCGCTACTTACTACTCCCTCTTTGACTTAACTGATCTTCCATTTGCTTAAACAGGTTCATGGAGGTGTGAAAGTTACCCCAAAAAACTAATCTTTTCTCTTGCTTAAGGAGGTCTAAGATGAAATCCCCTTAAAACCACCATTAAGCTAACTCTCTTTAAAAACTCTTTTTCTTTCTCGCTTACTGACATCAATAAAAGAGGGCGTGATTTCATATTTTCGCTTTACGATGTTTCAAAGAGGGCAGATTTTCAGAACAAGCTTCCTTCTCTTAGGCACTTCTTGAGTCTTTCGAAAAGCCCACAAGACACTAACTCCCTTCAAGTTCTCCTCTCAAGTTCTCAACTCTCTAAGCTTCTTCCATCAGTTTCCCCTAAAGCGGTCCCTAATTCTCTTTAAGCCATCTTTTAAGCCTTCTTAAGTTCCATCAAACCTGCTAAAAAAGAATGCGGCTTGAAGGAAGCTTTAGAAGAGAGTTGAAGGGGAACTTGAGAAAGAAGACTTCTCAAAATTGAATTCGAGGAAGGTTAGAGGGTTCAGCCATGGCCCTAGCGTGGCAAAACTTTGTCAGGATGACTCCCAATGGATTTACATTTGCTGGTGTGTGTCGCAGGGTTTCCCTCCCGTGGCAAAACCCCGTCCATGAGCTGGACTATGCCCGACAGAAATTCCTGGCCACTGCAATCGATGACACCGAAAAAGATGAACTGACAGACTTGCTTGGCGAGGTCCGATCTGTGCCATTGATGGCATACACAGCAGCAGTGTGGAAGGACGAACAGTCCAAGATTGACACGCAAAAACGAGTAAACATGAAGTTGAGAGATGAGTTTGTGACGGAGATGACCCCTTTGCTGGGGGACCCAAGTTGGTCCAATCCACAACGTTTGCAGTACATCCGAGACTTGGCCATTGGTCAGGCAACCTCTGACCCAGCAGACTTTTTTGATGAGACCGTGTACGACTGCTTCTTCAAGCCATATATTTATGAGGCAGACGGCAAGTTTTCCTTTGCAAGCAACCCGTGGACTGTTTGCGTAGCATACTGCGTAGACGCGAGCGGGACACTGCTGAAACAAAGCAAGTTTCCGGTTCTGCAATGGTGCCAGAACGAGCAAAGACTGCAGCAAACTTGCGCGGGTTGGTGAGCTCGTGAAAGGCACGCTGCGGCGATGGTTCCCTTCGGCAAAAAGCCCACTGAGCGGCGACCAGAAAAAGCTACGCTGGCGCGTGGAGAGCATTTGCAGGAGGCATGGGAGGCAACATGGCTGGCATCCAGAGGAAGGGGAGCCATATTTTCAACAACTGCTGAATTGGTCGAATAGCGGTGTAAACGTCAGCATACGAGAGCGTCAGTTGAACAGAACAAAGCAAAACAAACCGTGTCGGTTGGACATGAGGTGGTGCACATACTTAGAGATGTTGCGCAATGCGAATGCGCATGTCACCTCTAGAAATAGAGCTGACTATGAGGAACTATTATTTAATTGCTTGCCGAGCCAAACAGGCTTGCTATTGGCGGCTTTGAGGAATTTCACTCTGTCCAGACCAAGGTGAGAGCCAGGTGCACGCTGTTGAAGATGTGAAAAAAAGCGAGTCGGGATGGGTTGAGGTTGACTGGTAGTAGCAGCCTGTGTGCTGGTTTAATCTCTGTCTGCCTGAATGTTGGTAGTTGTTGCAGCATAGGTCCTTGATTCTCGCTCATGCCACCCTGCCATGAAAGGCGAATCGTTCATGCATTGTGTTGCGTTTGTAACTGCTCCTGCTCCTGCTTCTGTTTCTTCTTCTTCTTCTCCTGTTGCTTCTTCTTCCTCTTCTTCTTCTTCTTCTTCTCTGTAATTGCCCCCAGCCTGTTTTTTGAAGAGCAAGACCCGCCCTTCTGCCGTCGGGGAGAGGGAAGGCAAACTCTGATGTCTTTGCACCCATTGGGGTCCTTGCTGCTGAAGGCACAAGTGCATTCTGTGAATGTTGCCTTTGATGCAGTGAGCTCAACCATTCCCGGATTTGCATCCAAGGGCAGTGTTCTTGCTCGATGGTTTGGCCCGTCTTGCTGCCATTCCATCCTCTTCTAGTGTTCAATTTTTGATGTACCCGCTCATGTCTGCCTGGTTTGGTGTGAGGGGCTAGTGGCGTTAAAAACTATGAAACAGTCGAGGGGGAACCCCACAAATATTGAAGAGGCTGCTGTTCCAGTCGCCTGCCTTTTGAAGAGCAAGACCTACCCTTCTGCCATGGTCGTTGCTGCTGCAGACACAATGCAATCCGAAGGTTATATTTTGTTCCGACAGCATGAGCATGGAGGAGATTGCTAAAGTGTGCACAATGTATTTCTGCTGCCGGCTGACGTTGAGACGTGCCGTTTGGCGTTTTGTGTGGTTTTGATTTCCCCTGCGGAAATGCTTTCAGTGGGGCTGCCCTGATCACATCCACAGAACCTGAACATATTTGACGCCACTCTCCCCAAGGATGAGAGGCCGTTTCTGGAAAGGGAGGCGGTTGTTGAGAGTGTTGTGAAGCAACTAGAAAAGATCCAAAGGAACGGGACCAACAAGCCGACGGTGGTGACCTTGTGGAGCCCGCGGGGAACGGGCAAGACATCGCTCATCCGACACTCGGAAGGACGCGAGCTTTGCAGCAAGCCGAAGATGTGGACGGCTTTTGGTTCTTGATGCTGGAGAGATTGCAGGGTAAGCATTGCAGGAAGCTCCCAGTAGGATTGGTTCTGCTATCGTCGTGTGGCACCTGTCACAGTTGTTGCACGGCTACAACATCGAAGTGAGTGGGCGGTTGGTGAGTTTTCAGCGAATGGAGTTCATTGCAGTGCTGGAGGCCCTCAAGCGTGCATCGGCACCAAATGAGGGGAGCAACAGCTTTGAAGTTTGGCTTCGCTCATCTTGTCGACACAGGGAGGATGTCTTCGAGCAGTGGCTGTTGGTGACGGCTGCAGCCTTCAACGCAACACCAGACTGCGCTTGTTTGATTTTCCTTGATCAGGCCGAGCTGCTTGTGAAAGAACAGGTGGAGGGACGGAGTCAGTCGGGTGGACAGAAGTCAGCTTTCACCGAGATATTCAGCAAGTTCCCGCAGAAGATGGGCATGTTTTTGGCAGGCACGGTGAATATCTTGATTGATAGGCCATCGGAGGATTACACCGTGCTTAAGGTCCAGGAAGTACTGGCTCTACCGCCGTTGTCACTGCAAGCCGCCAGACGGGCCATGGCAGAGTGGGGAGGCACGCAATACAAGAAGGAGGAATTCGACAACATTCACCTCTTCTCGGCTGGGGTATGCCGGCTTCTGGAGGCGGCTTTCCAGACCTGGGGTGAGTTGGCATCAACTGCTCAGGTTGCACTCAATGCCATGTGGCAGGAGTTCAGGAGCTCGTTTGCGGATGCAGCCCCCTACTTCAATCAGCCAGAAGTGGCTTTGGCGTTGGTTCTTTGCTCGGCGGTTCGATGGCCTGCAGAAGGCCACCAGCTTGTGCCCGGAACCTTACTGAGGTGGTCAGACATCTTCAGGGCAGGAGCAGCATTTCCAAACAACAAGTCCGTACTGGTTCCACGGCTGTGGTGGTGTGAGGGTACCAATATCAAAGACGCCATCCGAAACGATTTGAAACAGCTGAACGGGCTCCTGCCAGATTCCTTGCAGTTGCTCAACAGCCCAAAAAGGGGTGCCACTGAAAGGGGGGAGAAGTGGGAAGAGCTGGTTGCAAATTCCCTGGCAGTGCGGTTCCGCCTTCACTGCGTAGCAAGAAACCTGAGTGCTGAAGTCACCTGGGCCCCTTTTTTGGAGATCTACCCTACGGAGGATCCACATTTGCGAGCTGTTTTGGAGCCGTTCGAAGCCAAGGCAATGAAGCAACTGTCAGGAGTGACGTTGGGAAGGCCATCAAGTCCAACCGGAATTTTGCAACGGCTCACCACGATCTTTTGATCCCTGTGAGATGCAAGGCAACTGGTAAGCTCGAGTTCATTGCAGCGCAATGTCGTTATGGAGAGAAAAAGGATGCAGGCGGCCTGAAGTTGCAGGGCAAGGCGAAGAAGGACAACTTTGGGGACATGCAAAATGTGTTGCTGCAGATTTGCAGTGAGTCTGAAGGCTGGCAGTCCTTTACAAACAAGACATGGGACAGACGTCAGGAGGAGAAGAAATACTCTCTCATGAGTTGCGAGACTATCATTGCGCAGCTGGACTATCATTGCGCAGCTTGGTGTGAGTGGTTAGTGGAGCGCAAAACTATCAATCAGTCGAGGGGGAACCCGCAAATATTGAAGAGCCTGCTGTTCCAGTCGCGCTTGCGTTTTCTTGCTGCTTATTTGCAGGGCACAAGCCGCTTGCAACGATCCCTCGCCCCCAAGTGCGACGTGAGAGAACAGCTTTGCGACAGCGCAAGGTTGCTGGTGCGAGCTTTCTGCTTCCCTCGATTTTGATGCACATCGCAAGGTCCCCCTTGGTTTGAATTGAAATTTCTCATCGCGAGGCATGCGGTTGGCCGCACGCAAAATCCAGGGTCAAAGCAAACGTTGGTGACGTTGCTGGCTTGCCAGCCCTTTTCCCCCTACCCCAGCTTGAACCCCCTACGCCCACAGTGGCATGAATTCCAAACTTGATTTTGAAACTTGTGTCATTTCTTTGGCGAATCGTTGCGCAGGTCTCACCCGATCTCCCACTGCATGAACGTGTATTGGCAGCATTGTGCAGCAAGGCAGCCACAGGAAGGTGCACGTGCATTGGCAAGGACAAGATCTACGACTGGAAAAGGAATCCCATCTGCGACAGTTCGGCACTGCTGCAGTGAGCTTGGTGGGCCGCTCTGAAGTCTCTGAACGGCTGTTTGCTCAGTTTGAGGAACGCCGCAGACAGACAGCTTTTTCAAAGCAGGAGAACGGTAGCAGGTTGCCAGCAATCTGGCAAGCACCCGGCGCTGGAAAGACCACTTTTTTGGTGGCGTTGCCGGAGTTGTTGGCAAAACGTGCGAACCTTCCACTGGAGCATGTCATTGCAGTGCCTTTCACGTACAATGAGAATATGAACTGTGCTCTGGAGATTGCAGACACGCTGGCACCACTTGCGCTGCGAATGCTTTTTGGGGCTTTGAGCTGCATGGGCGGCACCGTGCCTAAAGAGTGTGGCCTCAAAGCCTTCGAGGATTTGCGGGATGCAGTGAATGAGCAGGACGTCAAAAAGCTACCCCTTTCTCCGCTGTGGATATTTTACACAACTGGTACCCGGCAGGATCAACCAGTTCGGTTAAACGAACGGTCGTCATCACCGCTGACGAGCTGCGCAAAGCCAGTAATAAAGAAGTGTGTTGCTGGACAAGGAGAAGCACAAGGAGGTGTTCCTGGTAGTTTCAGCACTGTCACGGGCTTGGCGGGTATGGAACCCGAAGAGCACGACGGGGACCAATCGCAACATATTGTTCTGCGAGCTACGAAGCTTATCGCAGCAAGAGTGCTGCCAGGTGCTGACAGACCAGCTGGCGTCCGAGCCTGGCAATCAAATCGTGCAGGACAACTTGGTTCTTTGTGCAGGCGGCTGGCCGCGACTGCTGGCAATGCTCATACAGTGCCTCAAAAGGGAAGAACGACAAGAGGATTTGGAACAACGAGGCTTTGGTTACCAGAAGCTGCCGGATCTGGTTTTATCTCTTGTTAAAAGCATGGAAGAGGCTCGTTTGCCTCCGATGCCTAGCAGTGAAACTGTGGAAAAGATTCTTTCACTGCGCAGACACCAGGGTGGTAGAGTCCCCGACGCCCTTCAGTTTTGGTCAAAGAAGATGCCACAAGTGCGTGGAATGGTGGAATCAGGCATGTTGACGCTGGATCGAGTCAGCAGTGGCTTAAGGCTTGACATTCCAAGGTGGGCAGTCTTGCCACAGCTGGAAGAATCGTTAGATCTAAGGCGATTCCCGCTTATTTGCAAGATGAAAGAGATCCTGAATCGTGGCACTGTGAGGAAACCATCGCAGCGGGCTGAGCGTGGGACAGCCGGTGTGGTGGCCCTGGCACTGATGCAGTTGCAGGACATGGGATAGTGTCCAAAGCAGCCACTGCAATTAACCCCCCTGTTTGGTCGGCTGTTGGTAGGCTTCTGAATTTCACAGGTGAGGTGTCAGATGTGCGAATTTGCTGAAAGCATCCTGCCGGAGGTCCCACTGGCAACATGGCAGAACATGTTGCAGCAAGGCTTTTCCGTCATGGTGGAGCTGCCAGAGGACAACATGAAGGGACAGGAATTTTGTGATTGGGTTGCGCGTAAGGAGCAGCAACACCAAGAACAAGCACTGATCATCTTCACACCAGATGGCTATGAGGCTGTTGACTTCTATGTCTGCTTCTCGGGCTTCAGAGTGGGCTGCCGAGGGCTTTGGCGCAAGATATTGCCATGCGGCTGCTCAAGTCAGCTCCCCAAAGATTAGAAGCGCCCAGAAGGATGTTCAAGCTTATTCATCCTTTTTGACCTTCCGTGCCCACAATGCATGCAATGGTGCAAATTAGAGGTGCCATGATTAGGTTGGACAACAGCAAATGTGAACTACTGCCAAGAAACATTCTTGCAGAGCTTGGCTTTTGTGGGCTTGAGTAGATTCGACACAAATTCTTGATGCTCTTTTCGTAATGGCATATACCAGTTTGCCGCAGTGGGATTTCACGCTTGTGTTGAAAAATGCACGTCATGATTGAAGTACAGCAACCCTGCGCCAGTAACCTGGCAGGGACAGCTATTATCAATGCTGAGTGTACGTCGTGTGTTTACGCGGTGAAGAAACATGTGCACATCAATTTCACGTACCGTGCCGCAAAGCTGGTGTTGTGCGGCTGGCACCGTGTTCTTTGAGCCGCAGAAACGATGACTTCTGCCACACAAACGATGACATACCTTGCAGCGATGTCATCTGTCACAGAAACGATGACATTTGTCACAGAAACGATGACAAGCTCGGCTGGCTGCCTTGTCACCCCAAGGGCCCCGTAGCTCAGTCGGTTACCACGTCTCTGTCAGCAGCGCCCGGGGCTCAAAGTTGGTGGTGACGATCAGCTGCATCACCCGGCTTGCCTTTGCCATTAATGACTCAATATTGACTCAATAATGTCCTGGTATCGAGGTTTTCAGAAGTGGCAGACATTGGCCATTTTGTGTCTACCTCCAGCGGCGTGTCCAACCCGTCCACCGTGGAAAGCAGGGCGGCCAGTGCGCTTGCGTCCGCCTTGCCAGCGAGGGCCACGTCGAGGGCTGCAGCGGTTCCATCGCCTCGGCGAACAACGCCACGCTGGCCACGGTGGCTGCCAACTACGGCCAGCGCTGGCCTCCGAGCTCGCAAGCCGAGACGGCCCATCTCGGGCCTCCAAGGCGGACGCTTTTCGTGGCCACCACGCCCTCCAGCATGCGAAGTCAGCGAGCTCTGCAGCGCTGCGACGCTGCTCCCGTGGGCAGCCACCTGCCCGTCCGGACGTGCAGTGACCCGGTCGTCCAGGGACTGGATGGCAGCCCCGATGCTGCCGTGGTCTGGCGTCAGAGCGACGGCCAGCTGCCCTTGCGGTGACGTGTGTGCCTTCCGTCACCTCTCCGTTGTCCAGGACCTCCGACATGTTGCCGGTGACTGGTCCTTCAAACATCTTTACATATGTTTTCGCCGACGCCTTAGTCCAGTGGCTAAGGCGTCGGCCAAGGAACTGACCGCTTCTTACTCCGCGCGGCTCAATTCCTGCCCGGACGGCGAGTTGTGGCGTTCTTTTTGCTGCCAGGCACGGTCTTGCCAAGGCCGGCATGCAGCTGAAGTATATGGGCAGTAAGTCGTGGCTGGCTCCTGGACCTGCTGCTGGGCGACGTGTCGGTGCTGCGCTCGCCCTTCTTCGGTTCCGGAAAGCTAGAGTACTACCTTGCCCGGCGGCGCCCGGGCCTGGCCTCAGCATTGTCGCTCTGCCAAGTAGCTTCCAGGTGGACCTATCAAGCTGCAAATCGGCCCAGCAGGCTCCAAATGCCTGCTAGTCCACCCTACTCCTGCGGGTTGCGCAATGCGGTGGCAAGCAAGTTGAACGACTGTTCGGAGTTCCTTCGCACGGCAGCAGCAGCCACTGCCCCCGAGCTGCGTGCGGCGGCTGCAGCTGCCACCGTCCAACGTGACCGTGCGGCACCAGGATGCGCTGGCCTATCTGCGGCTGCCCCAACCCAGCACCCTAGCAATGCAATCCTGTTGCCGGCGCAGGATTGACGGAGACGCAACCCAAGACTCACATGCAGCAAATGAGGCCAAGAGAATTCCAACCCAACCAACCTTCTGCTCTGAGTCACCGTTGCGCTTAGAAAGCACTTATCAGGCTTTTCGAGCCACAAAGCTCCGCAACAGAAACGCACTTACAAGGCCAGAAACAGCGCTTTAAGCCCGGGCAACTTAAACTTCCGAGACGCACAGAATGCGACTAGGACGCGTTTTGCCTGCATATTGAAGCAAGCTGAAAACCCTTGCAGAAGTGCAAGCAGAAGGGCTGTGGCCGCACCGCGCAAAACCACCAAATTTTCGCAGAATCCACATTTGCTGAATGACAACCTCTGAGGATGCGCTGTGAGCGGTTTTAGATTTCACAAATAACAGAGAGAGAAAGCGGGTTCCGTACCCTTGGTCCGCGCCAGCCGTACGTCCTCGTCCGTGGCCTCTGCGGGAGTGCGGAAGCCGTGCTTGGAAATTGCCTGCAGAGGTGCTGCAGGGGCCGGGGTTGGGGTCCTTGCTGGACTGTACAAAATCGTCCAAGTAGAAGTGGCTTGTGACGAACGAGGTGGCCTTGCGGCCCGGCTGGTCCAGGGACAGCGGCTCATTCCGCTCAAGGTAGCCCACCTGCTCAAAGCGCGGGCGCTGGTTGGAGCCGTGCGCCCGAAGCGTCTTCTTTACCGTTGCGCAACTTCCCGGCGCTCGGCCCGCGCGTAGCGCAGCTGGGGTACCTGGCGGTGCACGGCCTCCGTCAGCCGGCTCACGTCGTCCAGGTGCCGCCCCTCCTGCGCCTGCCTGCGCTCCCCAAGCCAATTGTTGAAGGCCCGCGCCTCCTCCAGTTCTCGGTAGCGCTTCAGCAGCAGCGGTTGCAAGTTGTAACTGGGGTACGTTTTGCGGAACCACCGGAGCGCGTCTGCAGCCACCGTGCAATGTACGGCTCTGCCCTGCCGGCGCACCAGTGCACACCAGACATCCGCGGCTTGTTGCGGGGTTGATCGACATCATGCTTTTAACCAGTACGCTTGCGGCTGTGGTCAGCCGGTCCTTCGCGGACTGCCTCTCCAGCATACGCAGGGCGCGCTGCTGCTCTCTTGTGAGCTGAGGCGCCTCCGGTGGTGCCTCAGCCGGTGCCTCAACCGCTGGTGGTGCCTCCGCCGGCGCCGTCTCAAGTGGAGGCGGCTTTGGCTTGCGCTTTGGAGCAGCCGGCTCAGTAGGCACGTCCTGCTTCGGTTTGTTCTTGCTCCCAGGGGGCCTGCCCCGCCGTTTCGGTTCCGGTGCCTCCGGCGCAGCGTACTCCTGCGCCTCTGGACGGCTCCATCCTTTTCAATTATACGTGGTCAAGATATAACACGAACGACAAAGACGACCCGCGAAGCCGGACGACGTTGCCATCCAGGTCGGTCAGGCGGAAGCGCATGTGCCTCAGGGTAACCGGGCCCCTGAGGGCCAGGAAGCGCCCGCCGTCGGAGCCCGTCTCCGCTCTTCAGCGTGATCTTGGAGAGGATGCCCAGGTTGCCCAGCACTCTGCTGGCGTTGGCCAGCTGGGCGCAGCGCAGGTAGACCTCGTTGTGCGCCATCATCTTCACAAACTTAAAGACCTGCTGCCCGCCGGAGACGAAGCTCGGGCCCAGCATGTGGTCCACGCTGAAGGGCTTGGTGGGAGGCGGGCGGCGCGGCGGGGTAGTCCGCCGTGTCGGGAAATTGCTGCCGCAGCTCCAGGTTGTTCAGAATGAGCCTGTTGCCGTTGTAGGCAACGCTCAGGCTGTTGGTGGTCTTGCTGTACGTGGCGGTGGCAAAGTTGGAGCTGATCCAGGGGCCCGTGTACGCGCCCTCGGGCAACAACGCGTGCCCAGCGCGGCGAACCCAGCAGAGGTAGCGGCCCCGGTCCGTGGACAAAAAGCTGTCGGCCAGGCGGATCTTGTAGACGGCGAGCCGGGCGTCGCTCTGCAGGTGCAGGGACTCCCCAGGTCGACCTCGAAGTGGCTGTCCGAGCCGGCTCTTGCGGCTGTCCACGTAGATCGTCGTCATTCTTTTCTTTAGGAAGCCACCTGTTCGGTGAACGATGGGCGGGTGGACGGCTGCGACGGAGGTGCAGCAGGAGATATTCTCGCACTTCGCGTTGATCAGTGTGGAACTAGCGAACAGCTTCTGGCCCAGGAAGCTGAGCGCCGCTCCCATCGGCTTCTCTTTCCAATGCGAAACGCTCTTCAAAGCGCTTGTAGAACATTTCATTCCTCGGCTTCAGGTAGTAGACGAAAAGGAAGCTGTAAGGTTCCCGCGTCGCCTGCTCGTACAACTGGTAGAGCTGCTCCTTCGGCAGCAGGGCGCTGAGCTCCTCCACCACGGCGTCCAGCTCGTGCTGGTTGCGCAGCCTCCAGCAGCAGAGGAACTGCATGTTCACCCGCACGGCTGCGCTGATGAGCCGCAGCTTCTGCGAGCTCACCCAGGTGCTGATCTGCATGTGCCGGCCCCTGATGAAGAGAGTGTCCAGGGCGCCGTTTGGTTTATGCAATTGCGGCATGTCCGCAAGGTCGTCCAGGATGATCAGCACCTGGTACAGTTTCTTCATCTCCAACTTCTTGGACGTCTCGGTGATCTTGCGCTGCTGCTGGATGATGCGGCGCAGCGCCGGCTCGTCCCAGTCCTCCCAGTAGGCTTGCTCTCGTTCGGTATTCACCCCCAAGTCCTCCTCGATATACTTCTTGACGGGAATCCAGCCGTCATCGACGGCAATGGACGGACTGAAGATGTAGATTCTCTCAAACACGCCCCTGTACTGCTCCAGAATCAAGCTGATCAGAGCCACGGTTTTGCCGGATTTGCTGGGGCCGAGGAAGATGCCGGTGCATGGTACCAGGGGCACCACGGGGTCCGAGGACTGTTTGCTGCTGTATTCCGGCACAGGAAAGAGCTTGATCTTTCCCATCCCTTTGTTTCACTTGCCAAATTCGAAGCCGGGAAGCCGGGCGGCGAGTATGTCAGCGCACTGCTACACAGCAGGGCGCTGGCGGAGTTTTCCGGGATAAACCAAAGGGCTGGTATGCAGCTGAAGTACTTTGGAAGTAAAGCGTGGTTAGCTCCTCGCATGGACCGGCTGCTGGGGGACGTCGCCGTGCTTCACTCTCCCTTCTTCGGTTCTGGAAAGCTGGAGTACTACCTCGCCGCCCGGCGTCCGGGCCTGGAGGTGCGCGGCGTCGACGCCTTCGAGCCCG